CGGAGGGGGGGCGGGGAGGGGTGGGTGAATTTTTTTAGAAAATATATCCTGGAAGCATTTTTGTACCAAAAAACAGTACAGGCACAGGACCACTGCCGAAAAAAAAAAATCACGCAGGTCTGAGCCTAAAACAACATGTTACACTGAAAAAAAGATATGTCATGAGAAAAAAAAAGTTTCCACGTGCATGAAAGTGTTAAAAAAATATATTTGCCTTTCAGTTTTGTTGTTGTATTCTTGTTTATTGTGTTGCTGTTGTGGTTGTTGTTGTTGTTTTTCTCTTTCTAATTAGGAATTCGTGCTTCTCTCCAGGATTTTATCAACATCCAGTATAGAAACTGGCAATACAGAAAATAAAAGCCTGCTTAGAGTCTACTTAGTCGATACTCACAACTTCAATTCCTCCAGGCGAAATAGACACTGTCGACCTCGCTTGGTAAAAGAGGACAACAATGCGGCTGATTGGATGAAAAGTGGCGCGAGCTTTTTAAGCCAATCGTGTAGCGTAGTTGATGCAAAACCAATAACTTTTCGACACTCAAATTACACGCCGACACCTGTTTCAACACGTTAATGAGCATAAATACTCAGTTGTCGGAAAACACCTTCGAGAAAGTCACGAACAGGACCAACCAAATATGCACGAACAATTCAACATCTTAAAGAAGTGCAGAGGGAAGGTGGAATGCTTGATACATCAAAGAAAAAAACACCAAACTTAGACACACAAAGCTACACAAGCAGACTCTATTCGGGCAAAAGTGTTTGATTAGCCGACATTGTTCCTCACATTTTTCTTGACTCCTTAACGCCTAAGCTAAGATGACGCCGAAACGTCATGTTATAGGGTGTATTTTTCTTTTAAAATGTTTTTCAAAAGAAAAGCGCTCTATTTTCGTGCCTTTAGTAAGTTTACTGCTACTCACAGAACCACCTTGACCTTTTAAGAGTACAATCCTATCTTTGACAGTGATGTTCATGCTATCCAACAATTGCAAATCTTGCTCCATGCCTGCATTGCAAAACACCAGTTCTCCTTCGACCACACCAGGCGGAGCGTACATGAGGTATGGAAAATACTGGAACGAGGTTTTCGATTCGTGACGTGTCGTGACCTAATACACGGGAAAAGGGTTAAGAAAAACAACATGGAAGTCTACTTAACCAAATAGCTCTAAAAATGGATCTAGAGAATCAGAAAAAACTTATCCTGAACAGCTGTAAAACATTTCATATGAAATCTAAACTTAAAAACTTTTCTATTGAACTGAATTTCTATAAAACACCCTTAGAAAACATGGTTGCCATAGAATTCTTAAGTCACATGACGACAGTATTAACACACCAAAATATTCTCTGAAAATTCCTGGGAAAGATCTCAAAGTTTGACCTCCATGGCTTAAATGCTGTTTTAAAAGTTGGTAAAGTTTGAAACAGCAGGGCTGTCAAGGCCCCCTCCTTAATGGGACAAATGTAAAAATGCTGTTAAACTTACGTTGATCTTTCCAATTATACTATACTCGACAACTCCATTAATGAGAACTTCGACTGTGTTAGGTTGGTCTTCCTGTGGCAATGAAAGCAGCACCTGATACTCCGGTGTTTCTACGTCATCAAAACCGTACTCGCGCCATTTTGTGGCAATGTGATGGATGAGAGCGTCTTGTCTACCCGAACCACCAACGTGAGGCTGTGACGTAAAATACCTTATCGGGGTAATTATGTCAACATGTTAATAACTTCTCACCAGAAATAATAGCTAAAAGCTCAGAACAGAACTTAACAAAGGGAATTTTCAAC